TATATAGTAATTATATTAATATAATTATATATTTTATTATATTTATAATTTAATATAATATAATAATATTATAATACGCGATATATAAAAATATATTATAATATTAATAAAATATATTAAATATCTCAAAAAAAAAATAATCACTTACAATTAAACCACTTTCATAATTATGAGCACATGTACATACATACAAATATATATATATAATTATAATTATTTAAAAAAAAAAAAAGAATTAATATAAAATGGAACGTTTAATTACATCAAATGGCATAAACAAATTTCGCAGATCCGGCACAGATAAGCGAGTTACTCTCAAAGACGATAGCAGATGCACATGCGAGAACGTGTCTGGTGTCGACTGAACAAATACAGGAGTCATTCCGGAAACCTCACGACATATCCAGATTGCTCTATTACAAAAACATGGCGCACGAACAATTATGGCTCGAATGCGCGCAAAAATTAACCACTGTTATCCAGCAGATCATCGAATTCGCTAAGATGGTACCTGGATTTATGAAACTCTCCCAGGACGATCAAATTGTTTTACTCAAGGCCGGTTAGTATTATTTTATATTATTTTTTCTAAATTAAACAATTTTAACACACGTTAACTGATTACACCCTTTCAAATCAATTTGGTTAGTCTCATTTAGGACCACCCCAATAAAAAAATATAACTCGTACAATATTATGCAACATTGTGCATTGTTCTTAGGTTCCTTCGAGTTGGCTGTGCTACGAATGAGCAGGTACCTCGACCTCACGCAAAATTGCGTCCTGTACGGTGACACCATGTTACCCCAAGATGCATTCTATACGACGGACACGGCGGAAATGAAGTTGGTTTCCTGCGTTTTCGAACTTGCTAGAAGCGTTGCCGAATTGAAGTTAACCGAAACGGAGTTGGCGCTTTACAGCGCTGCTGTATTACTCAGTCCTGGTTTGTACATTTATTTATTTATTTATTTATTTATATTCAACTTAACCTTTAACACTGCTAGAAAGTGTGCCTTTCAGGCACCATCAACCATTAACCCTTTGGCTACATTTGACGTATCAATATGTCATGCATTTGTTTGAACAATGATGCATATGACGTTTTGAGATACGTCATTGAAACTGAGATAAGATTTAACCAGTTCATTCTGATTTATTTCCAAGTAATCTTCAAATAGATGTGTACCCAAAGGGTTAATTAAATTTCTATGCAACAATAGGGCCCATTTTATTATCAGAAATTGTCTATGTTTGCAAACAGTTAAAATGAAATACAAAATAAAATACAAATACTGAATAAATAATAATAATAATAATAAATATGTTTGTATATACAGATCGGCCAGGATTGAAGGGATTGGCGGAAATAACGAGGCTTTATCAAGCAGTGATAAGGGCACTTAGGTCGGAGTTGGACCGGAATCACGTGTCACCGATAAAAGGGGACGTAACCGTGTGCGATGCTATATTAGCTAAGATACCCCAACTGCGTGAGATTTCTCTTTTACACATGGACGCCCTGGCAAAGTTCAAACGGTCGCAACCGCACCTAGAGTTTCCGGCCCTTCACAAAGAGCTTTTCAGCGTCGACAGCTGAACGATCGACGCGACGCAGGGCGTCCCGACGCTGACAAACAAAGCGGAACGCGAATAAAGCTCGGGGCCTTGCTCCGTCGAGGTGAGTTCCGAGCTGGTACTCGAACCAAACAAACAAAATTAAACAAAAAAAGGAAAAAAAAAACAGAGAGAGAACAATTATTAAATGATAAACCAAAAAAAAAAAGAAAGAAAAAGAAAAAAATCAACGTGAAAAGAAAAAAAAAAAAAGAACAAATTTTCATATTATTATTTGCAAATCAAATATATAATAATAATAATACCTTAATAATATAATATATTATTAAATAAACACACGAGAGATAAATAAAAAAAATGGGAAAAGAAGAAATTAAAAAAAAAAAAAAAAAAAAAAAGATTGAACAAAAAATTCATCTTTTTGTCAGGATAAATGATGCGTTGTTGTGTTGGATGTGTTGTGTGTGTGTGTGTGTGTGTTCTCTCTCTCATGAAATCGTTTTAGGAGATAAATTTAATAAATAAAAATTAAACAAAATAAATGAATAAAATAAACAATATATTATATGGAAACGGAACTGTAAAAAAAAAAAAGAAAATGAGATGCACACTCATCACTGGATGAGTGTGTGTGTGGTTTATATAGTTGATTATAATATACCGAGAACTTCTAAATAATTTTTGTTCGAGTAAATAATAATAATAATAATAATACGGGACGATCTGATAAAGTTAATTGTTTTTATCAGTACCTTGACGCGACCTGTACGAATGATTAATTGATTGATATAAATATATATATATATATATATATTAATAAATAAGAATAAAGAATATAAAGTGAATGGAAGGGGGGGGGGTAGGGTGAGAAAAAAAACGTGTATAAAAAAGAAAGGGTGGTTGTGTTGTTCGTAGTGGTGGGGAAAAACGGAAAGAACGGTAGATGTTTCTTTTTTCTAATAATTAATCTACAATTCAAAGCTTTTTGTCATGTTTTAAATATTCCAAAATTTTGTTGTGATATCACAAAGCGATGAAGAAAACAACAAAGAAGAAAGAAAAAAAAAAAAAAAAAAAGAAAAGAAAAAAAGGAAAAAGGAATATTTGAGAAGATAAACGCCTAGATAAATAACGCGTTTTACGGTTATTACATTTGTATAGAAATAATTTATCATCGATGATATGCTTTATAATTATTATTACCTTTAGAAACAAACAAAATAATAATAATAATAATAATAATAATAATAATAATAATAATAATAGTAATAATAGTTAATAATGATAATAATAATATCAATAATAACTACGAGCACACTGTTTGTAGAAAGAGAAGCATATTTTAATGACTATTATAATAATATTATTATTATTATCTAATTTCAATCTTTCGTATAGAATTTGTTTTTTATTTTTTATTTTGTTTTTTTTGTTTTGTTTGTTTTTTTTTTTTATTTTGTATTTTCTAATGTAATATTCGACTATCCCTTTTTAAAACAGGGATATTATATTAATATTCATATTTTTATCGACTTATTTCATAAATAATAATAATAATAATAATAATAATAATAATAATAATAATAAAGAAATACAAATAATAATAATAATAATAATAATAATAATTAAAAAAGAAATTTTAAAAAAACCCAACACACACACACACCAATACATATTACGATTTATCTAGTTTTTAAGTTATATGCAATCAAAGTCCTTATTATATGCTTTTCCTATGAAAGAGAGGAAGCAGAAAAAAAAATAGAAAAGGAACGAAAAAAAAAAGAAGAAGAAGAAATAAATAAAAAAAATACTCCGCCTAGTTATTTCCTGTTATTAAATCTAGTAATTTTCCTAAACGAAAGAACTAAACAACAAACAAACAAAAGATTAACTGAATTATTATAATATTATATATATAAACACTTAAAAAAAAAAAAAATGACATGATATGACGATTATATTTATTAAAAAAAAAAAAAAAATAAGAAGAAAATGAGAGAAAAAAAAAACAAAGAAGAAAAATTGTCTTACTCTTTTTTTTTTCTTTTCACATTTTCAACTTTGTTTCATCGATTGTTTAACCCTTTGACTGCGGCACGTTCTCAAATCAATCCATAAAATATGAACGAACGGCGCGGCGCAATTTTCGCATGTCAGTCGTTGCGACTGTTTTTTTTTTCCATTCGACTACTACTCTGATCAAAACAAATAATAATGAGCAAATAAAATAAAAATATGAATTTTTTTTACATTTTTTTTTTTTTTTAATAATATTTTAAGCTACTTTAATTTACTTTATTTATCTTGTGCATTCCTTCGAATGATAATCGATAATCTTAATATATATATATAAATTACGTGTCACGTTGTTTGTCCGCAATGGACTCCTAAAATGCTAAACCGAATTGAATAAAATTTTGCACACTATGTGCAGTTTCATCCAACTTGAAAGATAGGATAGTTTATATCTCAATTTATAATCACAATATTATTTTATTAATCGCGAATTATGACTTAAAGACGTGTGTATCGGACTGATTGTGAGCAACAGCAACGCGTTGCGTGGCAGGGCACCCCTCTAGTTTAAATATAAAAGAAAAAATAAATACAATAATTTATAATGTAACACAGAGTATAATAACTTTAACAACAGGATATATTTGAATAATTTTTTTAAACCTAATTATAATAAAAATAATAAAATAATAATGAACGAAATAAAGATAATAAAATATCAAATAGACGACGAGTTTCAAATATAAAAGCAATTAACTAAAACGACATTGAAATTAATTGCCAATATTTATTTGCTATGTTACATATCACAATAAATTCCATTTTAAATTAATCCGGTAATACAGCAATAATGGTGTTACAGTAAAATAAAATATACAGACGGGCCTATGTATATATATATATATTTACACCTTTCGTCGTGTATATTGATGGATTTGTGAGAGCGTATATATACGCCATTAGCAGTCAAAGGATTAATTCTTTTTCTTGTTTATCGTGGAAGAAAGTAACTCGGTAAATGTTCGATTAGAACTCGGGTAACCCATCTACTACTACTACTACTACTACTACTACTATTACTATTACAACTATTTCTCGTTTCCTTTGATCCAACCCAAGAAATTCCCCCCTTTTTTTTTATCCTTCCATCAGCCCCATTTTTCCACTTTCCCATTAAACTCCTCACTGCCTCTCGCAATGCAATGCAATATAAGCAAACAAATAAACAAACAAACAAACAAACAAATAAGAAGCAAAGCAAGTATAGCAATTTAACAAGCACGTTGGTTTCTTTTTTTTTTTCTTTCTTTTTTTATTATTCTTAAACGTCCTTCGACTAGAAATTGTATAACACTACACCRCACAACTTACACACATTGTGCATACTAACTAACTACTACTACGACGGGGACACGCATAAATGATTCCCATTTTTTATACTTTTTTTTTTCTTTCTTTTTTTTTATTTCATTTCATAAAGTTTCCCATTCTTCATTGCACCAATTAACGTGTGTGTGTGCAAACAGTTCGATATAATATATCGCGGTGCTAAATGAAACACAGGTAGTCAAGTAAAAAAAAAAAGAAGAAGGAAAAAAAGGGTGAAGGGGAGGGGGAAAGTTAGAAAAGAAAGCAAGAAAGGGAGAGAGAGAGAGAGAATATATATATATGTGTGTGTGTGTGTGTGTGAGAGAGAGAGAGAGAATGAGAGAGAGAGAGAAGAAAAAAAAATAAAAAATATAAAACGTTTAACAAATTCTTCCTTTTCCTTTCTGTTGCAGATAATTTCCTTCGTTAAGAACGTATTGGGCCTTAAATAAACATAAAAAAAAAAAAAATTGTTATATATATATAAAGTATACATAATGAAAAAGAAAAAAATAAGCAACATAAATAAAGTATATATATATATATATATATATATATATAGAAGTATATATGTATATATACATATATATATATATATACACATATAATATGTATATATATATATACATATATATGTAAACATAAATATATACGCATATATATACACGTGAACGAAAACACACACACACATACATTCACATGCAAACACGTAATAGTGTATATGTATATATAAATATACAGATATACAATATACGAATAATATTTGTATATGAATATGTATATGTATATGTATATATACATTTATGCAGAAAGAAAGAGAGAGAGAGAGAGAGAGAGAGAGAAATCGAATGTAAGAATGTACGAGAGTGTGACAGCAAATGGAAATAAAATGTAAGAACGAAAGAGAGAGAGAGAATGAGAGAGAGAGAGAGAATGAGAGAGAGAGAGAGAAAGAGAGAATGCAAGAATGACATAAAAAAAAAAAAAGAAACAAACAAAAAATCGAACGGATTGAACGTAATTTAAATGAAATATATCGGTTGTTACGATACATACATAAAAAAAAAAGAAAAAGAAAAAGAAAAGGTATATTATTGTATTAAACAAATAAACAAGCAAGCAAGCAAACAAACAAACAAACAAATAAAAACAAAACAAAACAACAGATAAATAATAATAAAAATAATAATTATATTAATTAATAAATAATATAATAATTAATATTAATGATAAAATAATATTAATATTAATATTAATAATAATTATAATAATATTAATAATAATAATAATAATAATTATAAAAAAAACAAAGCAAATGTGGTCGTGTCCACCAGGATAGCCTTAGGACGAGCATCGCTAACTCTCGAGGACTGCCGTTTATTTAATGTGAATTATTATTCAAAACGAAAAGAAAGAAAATATTTAAAAACAAAAAAAAAACAAAACAAAAAACGGAGAACAAGAAAATTAATAATTATAATAATAATAATAATAATAATAGTAATAATAATAATAATAATTAATAGGGAAAATTGCATTTTGACCGAGTCGCTACCTCGAACGTAGAGGAAACAAAACACACATACCCACCCCACCTCCCCTCGACCCACCCCGCAAATATTATTGTATTGTTAATATTGCAGCTCTGACGATATATTATGAAATAAAATAAAAAATGAAATAAAAAAAAAAAACCTCCACCAACAACAACAACAACAACAACAACAACATTACGAATGAATGAACAAATAAAATAAAAGCATACATA